CGTGCGTGCGCATGCGTGTGTTCGATCTGGGGGTAAAGCTTGAAAACTATAAATACACATCTATCAGAAAATGGAAAAAAAAGAGTTAACATCTTCGGAGGAAAATATTCTTGACATTGTAAGAAAATGTAATTTTTGTGACAACTTTTCGAATTGCCCCCCCCTCCCCTCCCAAAAAAAAAAAAAGAAAAAAAATGTCATCTGAAGCTCCTTTTATGTGATGAAATGAGATCCTCATCGCTAATTTTTTACGTCAATGATTTTTTTGGCGACTATCTTTTTCAAAAAAAAAAGGAGCTGGTTCTTGTAGTGTGCCATTCAATATGTTTTGACATATAAGCAACTTGTGTATAAATGTTGGATGGGGGGAATATTTCCCTCCCAAGATGTTGGTTCTTTTTTTCATTTTTTTTGTTGATGTATATTTGCGGTTTCCATGTTTTACCCCTAGTTCAAATGGAAAGAGATAGAATTAGGTTAGGGGACCAAATTGAAACACTTTTTATACATTGGGGACTAAATTGACACAATTTAAACATTGGAAACCAAAATAGCACAAATTGCATATTTTGGGACTAAAAGTGTAATTTTTTTAATTGGGTTTCCACATTTACCCCTAGTTTTAGTGGCATCTATAAATGGAGTTGGGTTGGGGAACCAAACTAAAACGTTATTTTATACATTGGGGACTAAGTTGACGCAATTTAAACACTGGGAATCTAACACAAATTGCTTACTTTGGGGACTAAAAGTGTAATTAATGTTAGGATGTGTTAGGATATTTCCTATTTTATTCTTATTTAATATCTTTATTTGCTGCAATGGGCCTTTATTTAGGCCGTAACTCAGTCCTATAATTATGTTTATGATTTAATATAAAAGGGTATGAGATACCACTCATACCTTAACTTTTTTCTTCTCAAAACTCACATGGTATCAGAGCCACTCTAGAAATAAAGAAAAAAAAAAACCCTAGCCATAAGCCTACAGTACCACCACTGCACCACCACAACACTACCGCCGCACAACCACCCTAGCCACAGCCCTCCTTAGGGCCCCGCCAACACCAGGCGCCCCCTCCTAGGGTTCTGATAGCCCCAATCGAAGCCACTTGGGGCTCCGACAGTCCCAGGCGCAGCCCCTAGGGCTTGAACAGCACCCTAGGGTTCGTCAGAGCCTTCCTTCTCCAGCCTTGGTCTGTTAGCTGGCTTGGAGACCCAGGGTATGCACTGACGTAATCCCCGTCTGTCTTCGTTAACATCTTCATGTAACTCTTTCTTCTTTATCTCTCTTTGTCTTTGTAATACATCTTCATGTAACTCTTTCTTCTTAATCCCTTTTTGTCTATTTTTGTAATACAACGAGAGTCCTGTTATGACTACTACCATGACCGATTCTCTCAACTCTGGCCAGAAAATCATCACCTTTCTCTTTAATAGTCAGAACTATCTAGTGTGGTCGCAGAGTTTGACTATATTTTTGAAGAACATAGAGAAGATGGGGTATGTTGATGGGCGCGTTTAGGCTCCTAGTATCATCGATGTCGGTTATGATTAGTGGGAGATTATCAATTCTCTTATCATAGGTTGGTTAATACACTCCATGGTTCCGGAGATTGGTGAGGGATACTTGCCTATGGACACAGCACAGGATATTTGGAAGGTTGTGGCCGCTACGTATTCCCGCAAAGGCAATTTCTCACAGACTTTTGAGTTGCGACGCTCCATTGACCGGTCCATTCAGGTTGAGATGACTATCCTCCAGTATTTTACTTTCCTTAGCAATGGGTGAAAGAGACTTTATCATCTTTAGGACTACAAGCCTGTCTGTCCCACTGATTTTGCTGGTTACCGGAAATTTGTTGAACAAGTGCAGATCTTCAAGTTTTTGAAAGGTTTGAATATGGAGTTTGATCTTGTTCGGAGTCGTGCGCTTGATTGATATGGATGCGCTTCATTCTCTCCAAGAAGCGTTTGCTTATGAGCAGAATGAGAGTTGTCGTTCTGCTATGCTTTCGGCTGCCTTTTTTGATCGATCTGCCTTGGTTTCTGCCCCCTCTATAGGGGTGTAAAAATGGCCCGCGGCCTGTGGGCAGCCCGAGATGGGCCTGGCCCGTTTAGGCTCGCTTGGGCCCAGGCTTGAGCCCCTAGGTTAGGGCCTGGGCCATCGTTTTGAAGCTATTTTTGGCTCGTGGGCCCGACCCATCAGCCCGCTTAAGGCCCACTTAGGGCTCGACCCGAGGCCCAGTGTATTTTTCAATAGAAAATAATAAAATTTTGGTAGAAAAAATTTTAAAAAACAAAAAAAAATAGGCAGACTCGCCCAAACCCGAGGTTAAAAACACTGCTGTGGGCGGCCCGAGATGGGCCTGGCCCGTTTAGGCTCGCTTGGGCCCAGGCTTGAGCCCCTAGGTTAGGGCCTGGGCCATTGTTTTGAAGCTATTTTTGGCTCGTGGGCCCGACCCATCAGCCCGCTTAAGGCCCACTTAGGGCTCGACCCGAGGCCCAGTGTATTTTTCAATAGAAAATAATAAAATTTTGGTAGAAAAAATTTTAAAAAACAAAAAAAAATAGGCAGACTCGCCCAAACCCGAGGCCAGGCCCAAGCCTAGGTCCACCGGCCCACCTAAGGCCTGAATACCCCTGGGCCTGAGCTTAATTTTTTGGCCCATGAGCCGGCCCTGCCTTGCCTGAATTTTGGCGGGAGCCCTCGAGGCCCGACATGGGCTTGGCCGGGCCAGATTTACACCCCTACCCCTCTAGAGATGGGGATCGTGCTTCCCGTCCTCCTTCTGAGAAGGATACCCTATTCTGTGATTTTTGTCGTCGCCCTCGCCATACCCCTGAGACTTGTTGGAAGTTGCATGAGTAGCCATCTGGGGGTTGTGGAGACCGTTCTGGTTCTCGAGGGGGTCGGTCCGGTCAGTCTCGAGGCCAAGGGCCAAATGCCCGAGCCCATCTTTCTAATACAGTTGAGCCACGGTTCACAGCTCTAGTTGTTCTATCTGCTGATATCTCTAGGTTTTCTACTTCTGAGTTGGAGGTTGCTCTTTGCCACTTGCTAGACTGTCGGGCATCTAGTTCATCTTCAGGTAACTTAGCTTCTTCTACAAGTGCTTTCCTCTCTTATCCAACGTTGCCTTGGATTATTGATTCTGGTGCTTTCGACCACATGTCTAGGTCTTCTAATTTGTTCTCTACATATACCCCTTCTTCAGGACAGGATAAAGTTAGAATTGCTGATGGTACCATTTTTTCTGTGTCTGGGAAAGGTTTAATTCATGCCACTGCTTCTCTTCCTTTGTCTTCTGTCCTATATGTTCCCAATTTTAGTGTTAATCTTTTATCTTTGAGTCGTATTACTTTGGACTTAAATTGTAGTGTGACCTTTTTGCTTAATCATTGTCTGTTTCAGGACCTTATACGAGGAAGATGATTGGCAGTGGTAGAAACGAGAATGGTCTCTATATCCTGGATCAAGCAGACAAGTTGGCTCATTCATCCATTCAGTTCTCATCTACCAAAGAAGACATCTGGCTGTGGCACCGTTGTCTTAGGCATCCATCTTTTTTGTTACTTAAGCATATTTTTCCCTCTGTTTTTTTGAAAAATAATGTTTTTGAGTTTCACTGTGAGTCGTGTCAACTTAGCAAACAACACAGAGCTTCATTTGCTCCTTTTATTAATAAAAGTTTAGTTTTTTTTTCTTTGATTCATTCTGATGTATGGGGTCCCTCTTGTTTTGTGTCTTTAAAGGGTCAAAGATGGTTTGTTACCTTTATTGATGATTGTTCTAGGACCACTTGGGTGTATCTTATGAAGGACAAATGTGAGGTTTTTTCTATATTTCAAAATTTTCATAAAATGATTTGCACTCAGTTTGGGGCAATTGTCAAAATTTTGCGTTCTGATAATTGGGGGGGGGGGGGGAATTTATTGACTCTGGTCTTGCCCGTTATTTCACAACTCTGGTATTATTCATCAAACTTCTTGTACCAATACCCTTCAACAGAATGGTGTTGTTGAGCGTAAAAACCAGCATCTTCTTGATATTGCGCGTTGTTTGTCCTTTGAAATGCTAGTTCCTCACATGGTTATCAGAATCCCGATCCGGATCTTACGATCCTACGATCTTACGATCCATTTGAGTGCAATCGATCCGGATCGTGTAAAAAACTCCTTATAGGTAGGATCTTTCGATCCTGGTAGTGGGATCTTATAGGATCGTGGAATCCCGATCTGAATCCGATCTTATCCGATCCAATTTACAAGCCTTGCTTTGTATTGTATGACATATTTTGTTGTAAATTTTATATTGTTGTCTAAATATAAATTTATGTTGTCAAAATAAATAATAAAAATTAAGTAGTATTGAATCAAATAGACTAAGAAAAACAAACTAGAAAACAAACATTCAAATATTGCGGTAATTTAAGAAAATTAAATAGTCGGAAAAACAAACTTAGCTTTAGCAGAGTCTAAGAAGGGTAAGATGATTGTAACGTTATCCCAATTTCTGGAGAAATTATTTTTGTGACTCGAATCCGCTCCACCAGGGATGCTAACAACAAACCTTATCATTCGACTAAGCTACTCTTTTGAGTTCTTAATCTATTTTCATATCAATTTTGTTAAATATTTTTTCTTCACTTTTTATGCATTATTCTACATTGTAAAGTATTTTGTTATAGAATTCTTCTTCTTCTTCACCTTCTTTTTTGATAAAATACAGAACTTTTACCATCGAGTTTTCTATTGCATAATATTATATGTACATTTTACATAGAGTATTATATTTTTCACAATATCTTCACTTCTTTTTAATAAAATATAGGTTCATTTTGTGTATACTTCATAAGAAATATTTATTTAAATTAAATTATTATGTAATTTGTCTTTTTTGGTAGGATCTTACGATCCTCGATCTGATTCTACGATCCGATCCTATAAACATCTCCAACGATCCAACGTAGGATCACGATTTTAACAACCTTGGTTCCTCTATCATATTGGGGGGAAGCGGCTCTCATTGCCGCCTTCCTCATCAATTGTCTTCTTACCCAGGTTCTTTGCAAACAAACTCCTCTTCAGGTTTTGTTCGGGTTCCAATCTTCTGTGTTCTCCATTCCTCCCAAAACCTTTGGGTGTGTGTGCTTTGTTCATAACCATTCTCCTACCTGTGGTAAGTTGGATCCTCGGTCTCTTTGGTGTGTTTTCTTAGGTTACTCCGCCACCTAAAAGGGTTACAAGTGTTATCATCCTCCCTCTCGGAAATGGTTCGTCTCTATGGATGTGTCTTTCTTTGAATCTCAGTCCTACTTCTTGTCGCTCCGGTGTCCCAGTCATCTCTCAAGGAGAGCCTTAAGCGACTCCTGTATCACTACCAGCTATTGAGACTTCTGTATCAGTACCATCAGCCATTGAGAATGTTGAGACTATTATTATTGGTGATCCAACTTGAGAATGTTGCCTCTCAATCCGCAGTGAAAGACAACAAAGTGTATGTTAGGGACAATGATAGACAGAAAGTTACTTGGGTACAAGAGACCAATTCGGATTCTCCACTTCTATCTTCTACTTCTGATGAGTGTCCAGAATCCTCTCCTTCTGATGAACTTCCAGGTAACTCAATCCTTTTTGAATTTTCTGATCTAGATGTTTCCATTGCTAAAGGAAGGGGGTTATGTTTTGTACTCAACATCCTATTTCACATTTTGTCTCCTACACTAATTTGTCTTCTTCCTATAAAGTTTTTTTTATCTAAAGTTTCTTCTGTGAGTCTTCCTTCTAATTTTCAAGATGCTCTTTCTACTCCTGAGTGGAAGCATGCTGTAGACGCGCCTGCGTGGGGGGCTTCGCTACTACAGTTCGGACTCTCGATTTTGTTGTCGCTGTTCTTAATCTGAACCAAAGAGTCCAAATCTGGCAAATCGTTTTGAGAAACAGATTTTTTTGAAAAAAGTAGTGCCAAACATGGACTGCTTTGCCAGATACAGAGTCGCCACCTAAATATTTTTTAATGGGGAAATTTAGGAAACCCTGACTCGGTGCCGAAGGCCACATGTCCGTCATCACCGGAGTTGTCTCGGCTCGGGAGCTTGGGTACGATCGGGGAAGGTCAGCTATGAGCACCCCCTTTCGCCCGGTCCGAAGACCGGCCTCTACTAACCATGATATCCGATTTTGAAAACGTTATGTGTTCTTATTCCATTTATTAGCCTAGAATTACTATGTTACGCGCGCAGCAAACAAGTATAGACTAGATTGCCTAATTTGGAAACAAGCATTGCATATCCGTTTGTTTTGAAAAGAGTGCTTTGGAATTTGCTCTCCGCAAGTAGACTAAACACGGATTTCAATGAGTTCTTCCAACTCAAACAATCCAACCTTCACCCACAGCGCATTCAATCAGTTTATCAGATAACATTTAGCCACATGGCAAGCATACTGTCATGGCAACACTCACACGCATGCAGGATGCTAAAGCTAAAATACTTACATTGTACTCCGTGCCAAAACAATAAACTAGTTAGCAAACATGCATGTCCAGTTCATGTTAAATTGCCTAATGCAACACATACAGGATGCAATTAGATAGACTCGGCTAACCTAAGCATGGCATATGAAATGCGATCAATTTGATGCACGTATTCAATTTGAACTGAAATACAAATGCAGTCAGCATGATGTACCGAGCCCAATGCATGCAATATCAAATGCATGGATGCACGTATGCATAGCATAAGGTATGCTAAATTAAATATGCCCTAAGTCTACCATCATAAGCGGGTAAATAAAAGGGAGGGAAGACGTGGGGTTGGAAGCATACACACACTCACACACACTTATTACACAATTGCCCTCACTCGGAGGATACAAATAAATATTACAGTCCAAATAATAAGCAATAAAATTATACAGAATTTCTAATTAATCAATAAATTAAATGCAAAGGGAAGGTGGCCACGGCCCCCGCCTCGGGATGGCGAATGATGCATGCTTGACCCATATCGCCCGGAAACTCGGCTGCCATACACTACTGCCTCTGTTTCACTGCCTTTTCTTCTCTGAAACTTGTCAAGAGTCCCAGAGAACCTCTAATGAGCATTGCAGAACAATCACGGCTGGGAGGGATGACCACCCGACCGTGTACAAATCCATCGGCTGGAGATAAAGCTATTGGCACTGAATAAATGGCCGGTCGGCACTGATGTTGCCGTCGGCAGAAACTTCCTCTGCAGAAGACAGTTTTGACAGCAACAAAGGAAACAGACAGTGTATGCAGCATGAAATTCCAAGCAATATGTGTGCACCAAACACATCCCTTATCATGCTTTTTGACTCAAAGGGGGGTGTTCCTTGATCTCGAACCACCAATTGCGCATTTCGATGCGTGATGGTCCAAGAACCAAGTATGCGCTTTTGATGTTCAAATTGTCATGCAAAACCACAACAAACACATAAAGCCCAACCTCTATCACATGATCAAGAGGCAAGGTATGCATGCCAATGCAATGCAACCTAGTATGTCAAGCAAGAATACAACATGCATGCAACTCATGGCT